AGGGCTCGAAAGCCGGCGGCAGGGCGGCCCGGGGCAGGGCCCGGCGGTGACAGCCACCGCAAGCGGCGACAAAAGCGACGTGGGGCCCAGGCAGCGCCCGGCCCGAGGCCTGGCGAGGTGGAGCCGAGTCGGTGCTGTTCGGTGAGAGGACAGCGGGTGCCCTGCCAGCATTTACAGCGGGAAGGGAGGGAAGTGGAGACGGGAAAGCGGCTGCCCTCCTCGTAGGGCGTTAAGAAGTGGGCAGCCCCTGTGGCGTGCTGCTTGGGAACATACCTTTTGGGAGAAAACAGGGAAGAGAGGGGAAAGTAAGAGGCAATACGTATTTTTGCCAGACCTTTTTTTAACCTGCCCTCAAAACTGTCTTTGATAATTATTGTTTTTAAGGGAAATGGGAGTAGTTATCTTTGTTTTCTAGACAACACTAAAGCTTTTGACCAGCTGCTGCAAAGGAAATTGTTATTGCACTGAAAAGATAGGGATAGCCCCCGAATTGTAAAGAGGATGGGGAAGTAACTTAGAGATAAACTATGGTGAGTAATATTGAAAAAAAAAAATTCCATTAAATCTGAGTATAAAAGATTATAAAAGTAGTTATTTGAAGATCTGTCTTGAGACCAATCTTAATAAATATTTAATAAAGATCTTGATGTAGCAATTAAAACTTTACTGTTTTAATTTGGTAGTGATGAAGAGTCAGGAGGCATTGGCAATATAGAAGAGAGTTACAGTACTTACAACTACCCAGAAAGAACTGGGTGATCCTGAGAACTAGAGTATGAAATAAGTACAATAATGATTTAAGAAACAAGAGTTTGCAGTTGCAAACTTGTAAGCACACAATTTACAGAAGAAATTCTTACTGGTTGAAAGCAATACAAAACCAGAATATGTGTTAGGTAGTTACAAGATACACAGTTGTAGAAAAAGTGGATTCTGACCTGTGATGATCCAAAAAAAACAGGTTACTATTAATCACAAACAAAACTCTAGAATTCTTTGTGTAATGTTAATAATTCTCAGGTAAAATGGTAGAGTGGAACAGATGCAGGAAGATGTGCCTAGGACAGGTAGTGAAATTAAGAGTGTTGAAAGAAGCATTTGGCTATTTTAGTTCTGCTGACTAAGGGTCTTTTTTGCTCTCTGTTGAACCGTCAAGGTAAACACTGTGAAGAAACAAATTGAGCCAAAGAATTATGTCAATACATAAATAAATTAACATAGATTTAGGGAGTAATAGTATATGAAAATTTCTAACCATCAGAGAGCACTTGATGTTCAGGAGCAGCCTTCCAAAAGGTCCAGGAGGACCAAAAGCCCAACACTTTTTAGATGGAATGTGGCTGGTTTGTAAAAGTAATGCTTTTGTTTGCTTCATCAGGGGACTTAGCTTAGTGTTATCTGTAGACTTTAGATCTGATTTTCTTTGTTTGTAAAATAGGTGTTAAATGTGTTTTTTAGAAGAAAAATGTAATAATGTTTGCAGTTTGAATGGTAACAATCAGAAAATGACATTGGCTAATTACTCTCTTTTTGAGTTGAAGAGAAGGTAGTGGAGAGTAAGCTGAGATGAGTCAAAGGCTGAAGTGTAGTATGTGCATCTGCTGTCTTCTTACCAGAGGAATGTTAGTTTGTCTCTGCAAGAGGGGACTACAAAAATCAGTTCTGATCTGTACTCAATGCTAGTTTTCCTCCCAGCAGGTTTTGTTATCTTTCATTTAGAGTTGCCACATCAGCAAGAGTGAGGGATTCTAAGTGATGCCTTAAGTTGACTGTATTATCCCACCTCATATTCTTGTGCAGTCAGTTTCTGAATACAAGTGGCCTTGAAGTCCTCATCTGCAGCCCAGGACCCGACACACCTGGTCATCCCAGGAGTGAACTACTAGTGGTTCTCGTAGGGATTTGGGCATGCTTGAATTTTGAGGGCTTTTTCTCTTTTCTTTTGATCAGTCTGTCAGCTGGTTGTCTCCCACATGATCTCAGTTGTGGATGCTCCACTTCCAGATGGGTCTGGTAATAAGCACATAAACTATTTCTGAGGGCATTGATTTGCACACAGTATGTGAAATACACGATCCCTGATGCAGTCAGCTTTCATGGCATGCTGTTAATGTAGATGACAGGCTGACAGGCCTGTTCCAGAGAATTTCGATCGTTCGTGTTTACTGAAATTGTGCTGTCACTTAAGTCAAGAGCACAAATACTGACACTTTCAGATTTGTTGTGGTTTGTTTTGCTATTTCAAGATGATACTTACTAAATATGAGGAAGAAAGTTTGATCTCATGCAGTACCTCACTGAAGCCATATCTATACTTACAGAACTCAGATTCTGGCTTTAGTTCATGTATCAACACCACTTTTCCAAGTAGCATTTCTTTTTCTTCATAAATAAAATTTCAGTTGACTAAGTGGAACAGAGCTGCTTTAAACACCAGTTTTGTCGCTGAGCAAGTTTCTCACATGTGAGTAATGTAGCTACCTCAGCTGAATTTTATAACATAAAGTTAAAGGCATAAATCTTTTAATGTTTGTTGATGGGATTATATTCTCCAGCATGCTCAAGACCCGTTATAAGTGTTAGACCAGCAATAATAAATGGTGACAGAGAAAGGGCAGCAGCACATTTCAGGGAAGGTTCCTGGTGTATGGGTTTCCCATGGGTGGTGGAGAATGCTTGTCTTTCTTCTTCACCTCGATATTTTTTGTGCAGAGAAGTGTATGTATGTCCTTGTTAGTATGTTAGTGACTGGTTCTGCCTGAGTTTGTATACATTTTTAGAGGTTTGCTACATCTAAGGCTTGTCAGCTTTTATGAAAGTTTACTGAGTAGGGTTGTAGATGCAGGTGATGTGATTTATGCAGTCTACTTAGATTTTCAGGAAGCATTAAGGAAAAAGTACCCTACCAGAGGCTTTTGAGGAGACTGGCTGCTTGTAGCATAAAAGAATTTTCTTACATGCAGAAATAGTTGAGTTGAAAAAGAGGGCAAAAATACCAAAAAAAGGAAGGGAGCAGAAGGGTGGCACATGAGCTTCAGTGTACACAAAGGTAAGATGATGTCTTGGATAGAATAATCTAAACCGGTGATTCTCAACCAGTGGTCTGTGGACCTCTGGGGGCTGCGATGTCATCAGAGGGGGTCCGCAAAGGCTTAAAGCAGGGGTGGGGAATGTCCAGCCCAGAAACATTTGGTCTGGCCCACGGCAACCGTATGGTTGGTGGGACACACTTTAATGAGGAGATTTTTATCTTAAAGACATTTTCATAACCGAACAGCCCTCTTTAGGCTTCTAATGAGGCTGAAGTCTGTTCCTCCAAGTGGTGGCCCTGGACCTGTAAACAAAAATGTATGGTGACTGAAAATAGACAAACAAGGGGGGAGGTGAGAAAAATTGTAAAAACTTTTCATCAAATTTAAATGTAAAAATTAGCATCAAATTTGAAATTAGCATGTTAAAATACCATAAAATGGGCCATTTGAGCAAGAAGAGTGTTGATACTATTATTTTAGATTCATATGGAATCATTGCAATATTATAGCATTACATTATTATAGCAGTGTGTGCATTAACAGATGAACTTATTTCCCCTTCTCTCCAAATTTGAAGACCCTTTATGAGAAAATTGAAATACATTTTTGATGCAGTCTAATGCTTTAAATCTTGAATTAAGTTTTGATGGTCCGTGGCCACGAAATATATTTAAAGGGGGTCCATGGTGAAGGAAAGGTTGAGAACCCCTGATCTAAATCATGCTCACATGGTGCTGTACTCACAGCTGGTAGGCACCACTCAAGAAAAAGCTGTTGGAGTCAACTGACAGTTCCCTGAAAACCTCAGCTCAGTGTGCCGTGGCAGCCAGAAAGCCAGGAACATGGGGACTGTCCTCAGGGAGGCTGCCAAGGGAAAGGCAGAGAGCACCATTTTGCTACTCCAGCTTGGTGCACCCACATCTGGTGTCAGGTGTGTGTTTCTGGTCTCTGCTTCTGAAGAAGGATACAGTGGGTTAGAGAAGGGCAGCCAGAAGGGCCAAGGGGATCAGCTTCCGTAAGAGGGAAGACTGGGAAGCCAGGACTGTTCACATTAGAGAGGAGGTGGCTGGGGTGTGATCAAGACTTACGAAAGCAACTGTTAAGGTCAGTTACTAATCCGGTCTTGTGGTGCTGGCATGGGGCTTGCCGGGACTGGTGGGAGGGCGCTTTCAGGTGGATATAGGGAAGGACTTCAGCAGAGGTGACAGGGGGAGCTGTGAGGGCAAAGACTGTGGGCAGGCTCAGGAAGGGATTAGAAAAACTCATGGGCAAGAAGTTTGCTGAGGGGCTGCTAAAAGGACTAGTCAGGGAGGTCCCCGATATGATAGTAGTGGCTGCTGGGGTGTGTGTGGGGCATGGGCTAAAGGAAGCAGCCAGGCTCATCTGCTGTCCCAAAGAAGGATCTCCGACTGCCACTGTTGAAAGCAGAGGGTTGGACGAGCTGGATCAGTCTGATCCAGGACAGCAGTTTCTGTGAACTATGATCAGTCTTTTTAGTGGAGGAATTTTAGTTCTGCAGGGCTCAGTTCTGGGTTCTGAACTGTTAGCATTTCCATGAAGAGCTTGTAAAAGGCAGGGAGCAACAAAGTGATAGTGTTTGCTGATGACACAGGTAGTAAAGATAAAGTCAGGTATGAAAAGCTGGAGAAGGACCTTGTAAGACTGAGTAACTGGATAATATAATGTAATGGCACATGAATTGAGTGATTCAGATAGCATAAAAAGAATCCTGACTTCCCATATGAAATACTGGGCTCTCAGTGATGTACGATAAATAGTTCCATGAAAATGGAACCACAAAGCTCAGCAGCAGTCAGAAAGGTAAACCAGATAGTAAATATTATTGGAAAACAAGTAAAGAACAAATCGAAGAATTACTGTGTTAATCCATGGTTCACCTCAGACCCCCTCTGTGGTTCCCCCACTCTGTCTCCCAGCTCAGAAAGCATATAGTAAAAATGAGTGAGATTTGGAGAAGCAAACCAGGAATGGTCAAAGACACAGACCACCTTCAGTATGAGGAATGACCAAGAAAGCTGGGACTCCAAAATGCATCCTGGAAAGGGATGTCTGAGTAGGATATGATGAAGTCCTGTAGAATCATGAGTGGCATGAAAAGAATGGGCAGGGGTTGACTATCCATTCTTCCAGCAGGAGAGCTGTGGGTCCACAAGTGAAGCTTATAAGGCCCTGATTGAGCAGGTTCAAAAGATGTGGTTCTTCACAGGTAACTGAGTTGGAGAACTTATGAGAGTATGTTGTGGATATTAAAAGTATATGCGTTGAAAGGGAAAATGGGCAGATTCATGGAGGGGCACAGAGGGATGCTGGATATATAGGAACCCCATCCAGCTGTGAAAGGTTTTGAATGGAAAAGCAGTATTACATATGCTTGCCCTATTCTACTTTTTTCCCTGGCCTTTGCTTTTGGCTGCCATTTGAAAAACAATACTAGGCTGAAATGGACCTTTGCTGTGATTGGCTATGGCTACTTTTAT